GGAGGGAGGTTGACAGAGATTGAGAGAGGGAGAGGGGAAGAGAGTAAAGGGAAGGAAGGGGAAAATAGGAAAGAAAATGAAGAAATCTAACTCTTCAAGAAATATGCTACTATTAAAGTAAGAAAATTCTAAATCTAAGAGAAGTCCAGAGTTGGGTTTATATGACATAGGCCACGGCTCATACATGGCAAGATAAATGTCCACATTGGCTGCTTCATGCCACAGTCAAAGCCTCGTGGCACGAAGGCTCCTAGAGCGGTTTCCATCAATGCAAAGGGCTTCTGCCAACCCCCCAGCTGCTGGGGGATGAGGTCCTGATGTTGGGCTCTGACTCAGCCTTGCAAATGTGTTCTTCCTTTACCTAGATTTCCTGAAAACAGATAACAGTTCTAACCACCTGCTACTCAAAGCAAATGAAATGCTTTACTTTTAATTAAAAATACTCCAATTATGATGGTTTAGATAGTAAATGTAATGTTATTCCTTTATATCATAATAGAAAAAGCCATTCAAAACCAGTTACAACAGAACTCCCACATACACCTCTGAAGACGTAAGAAGCCATAAATATTTATAACAGCCTGTTAGGATCTGGCTGACATCGCAGCACAGGCCTTTCGAAGCCTGGCATCCAACTCGCAGACAAGAGACGTAAGGAGAGGAGCCCAGCAGAGTGCCTGGCACCTGGAGAGGCGCTCCTATTTAGCTGTTCCCGCCACAAGCATGGATTCGGCCCCAGGCGTGCCAGCTGACACCAAAAATTTGCAAAAAAGAACAGACAAGGTCCTTGGCCTTTTAGGATTTCCATTCTCGTGAGGACTAGAGCTGCTGAGCCATAATAAAAAGACCGTATATAGAATAAATTTGCCCGAGCACGTAGCAGGGTGAAGTGTGATGGGAAGCCACTTTAGCTCATGCCTAACCCGGCGGCCTCGGGTTGCTCTGTGGGTAAGTGTGAGAGTTTTAAAGGAGCAAAGTTATCACCTGAGAGAGCCCCTCACCCTGTGCGACGTTTGGTAGTAAGCAGAGACAGGGGCACCGTCCGCTGCTGTCCACACTTGAGCAACTAAGAGAGCCACGGGGGCCATGGTGAGGACGGGTGAAGCATTAACTCCGCTCCAAGGAACAGAAGTGTGCGAGGGGGCAGTGCTCCCCCCATGTCTCTCGGGCTATTTCCCGCCCTTGGCTAAGGTTCAGGCACGTCCCTCAGGAGCCTTTCTGAACTTCCTCCAGCCCTGGCTGTCCCCACCACTTGCATTTACTTGCCCTGCATGACACTAGAGCTTGCCTTGCCTGAGGCAGGCCGTCTTCTCTTTTAGGAAGTCAGGGTCAAACTGTCCTCATCAGAACTCCTCTGACTAATGAATAAATGACATTTAAAAATAAGTGAACGCATTCCTGGAGGAAAATGAATTTTCCTGACTTAGCGAGGAGGCTTTGGCAAGTCCTTGCGTTGGAAGATAGGACATCAGCTGGTGAGCAACTGACGGAAGTCCGAGCGTGGTCAGACTCCGCAGATTCTGGAAATCCAGGACAGCCTGGCATGACGCCGCCCAGCGGTAATCAGCCACCGTTGTTTTAAGGATTTCGCCCTCTCTGCTTCTTGTCCAGACCATGGAGTTCATTGGAGTGTGGAAACAAACTGTGGCCCCAGCTGTGCAGGTAAGGAAACTAGATTCAGAGATGTGAGGGGCCCTAATCAAGGTATCAGAGAATAATAATAGTAACAGCTAACAAACAGAGCACTGGCTATATATGCCAGACACCAGTTTAAGTGCTTTACATGTACTATATTAACTTATTTCATCTCCACAGCAGCCCTGTGAAGGAGGTGTTATTATTACAAGTTTATTATTGAAGAATCTGGAGAGTGATGGATGTAAGTAACTTGCTTAAGGTCCGAGAACTAGAAACAGGCAGGGTGGGATTCATCCCAGGGCCTGCATGCTGAATTCCTGCTGCAGTGTTTTAACTTGGCATAAACTGGAGACATGAGGGGTAAGGGTGGCCAAAGGACAGACAATGCAGAGGGCCACAGAAACAGAGTCAAAAGCCACAAGTCATCCTTTGTCAGTCCAATCATGTATTTTCTTAGCTACCACTGCTGTCCCAAAATAAGGAGAGAGACCGATGAACAAAACTCCATGTTACTTACTTGACATGGAGAACATTAAGGCTGGGAAAGTGGAGTTGATGGCTATGTAGAAGGCTGCTTTAACTGTTTGAGGTACCTCCGTGCAAGGAGATTATACTCCTGGGTCAACCACGTAAACAGCCTTCAGGTAAATACTTCACTTTAATGCAGAATGTAAAGATGTCTTCAATCGGATAACCCGAATGAACACCAGTTGTTTCCCTAAACTTTAAAATTGCAATAAAACTTTCTTCTTAAATTGCAAAGAAAAAATTGTTTGGTTTCTCTCATAATGCTTTTTAAAATCATTTTTAAGGGGTTATAGTTAACTTTTTAAAATGTCATATATTAAACATTCTCAACCACAGTGAAAGTTAAACAGCGAGCCAAGGAGTGGGTGGTTCAATGGATCCCAGAGGAAGGGTGCGCCAGGCGTGATTTCAGCGTGGAAAGAAGGAACATCACAGACTCACTGGGAGATGAATTTTAAATTCTGTTTTTAGAGCTTGACTCCAGAAGGCAGCAAGAAAGAAAAAAAAAGATTAGAAAGACGATGTTTTCAAAGTCACAAATGCCAAGGTTGGCTCGTGGCGGAGTTGGAGGTCTCCCCCTAAGGCAGGCCAGCGAGGGAGGGGCAGGGAGAATGAAGTGACACAGCGCACAGGCCTGCTGGGCAACACTTAGGTGCTGGAGTAATGGACCGGAACCGAGTGCCAGTGAGATGGCCGCAGGGGCCAGCTGGGGAGTAAGGACGTCGAGGTTCCATGTGGACAGTTCCTTAAAGCCCAGGTCGGGTTTGGAAAAGCAGAAATGGAAGAAGTGTAAGGAAGACGATTCTAAGCAAAAGGAAGAGTGTGGGTGACGGGATGGCATCTCACAGCCAAGACAATATAGGACACAAAGCTCGGGAAAATGGGAGAACTTGTCTTCCAAAATGTGGAAGACATTGAGTGTGTAACTAAGATGTGGGGGGTCCGTCCAAGCAATGTGGTGTTTCATGCACATTTGTTTTTGAAAGTAGGTTACTTGTATTTCCTATTATTCTAATATTCTGAGTACAGGCAAGCTATTGCTATATTCCCAGTTTCATGGAGTAGCTTGAAATGATGTAGATTCTGTGATTCAAGCCATGCTTGGACAAGGAGAGGCTTCTAATAGTGTCTGCTTCATTCATATGGGAAAAGGCAACCGCCGAAGGAGTGCTGGGGTAAGGGAAAAGGGAGTCTAGTCTTGAGTCTCATTTGACACTGACCATCTGCGTATCTTTAGACAAATCATTAACCTTTCTGACCCTCAGTTTACTGTCTATAAAATGAGCATCAATGCACCTTCATTACAGGGTTTGAAGTATTACATTTGACAACATTCATAAACACGCTTTATAAGCAGCACAGCACCATCCAAGGTATGGTGTCAATGTGATTCCTGAGTCCTTGACTCTGTTTTGGAAAGGTCATTCCGGCTGATGCCTGCATGACAAGTGACATATGAGTCTGCAGAGGCAGGGTTAAAACAGGCTGAGGTGTTTATAAATCTAGTTTTCAGCTGGGCACAGCATACTTTAGGCAGGTGATTCTCAGGGGGAGCTTTCAGGTGTCAAGTTCATGGACCCATGAAGAGAACCTATAATTGAGGATAGTCAACTTCAGCTTGAAGTAGAATTGCTAAAATCCCAGAGAACACGAGAAAGTCC